GTTCACACGGATGCCTCCACCACCGGCTGGGGGGCCACATTCGAAGGGCTTGCAGTGTCAGGGGTTTGGACGGGCCTCCAACTGCACTGGCACATCAATTGCCTAGAGTTGCTGGCAGTATGCCTTGCCTTGATCCGTCTCAAAGGGCGCTTACGAGGCAAGAACATACTGGTCTGCACGGACAATACTGCGATCATTGCGTACATCAACCGACAAGGTGGTCTACACTCCCATCGCATGTCGCAACTCGCCCGCCACCTCCTCCTCTGGAGTCAGAAGCATTTGAGGTCGCTTCATGCCATTCACATTCCGAGCTTGCACAACTGGGCAGCCGACAAGCTGTTATGAGCTGTGCTCCCCAGGGAATGGATACTCCATCCCCAGATGGTTCAGCTGATTTGGAGACGTTTTGGAGCCCCTCAGGTAGACCTGTTTGCGTCTCCAGAGACTTCTCACTGCCAGTTGTTTTACTCCCTGACCGAAGGAACACTCAGCATGGACGCACTGGCACACAAACACTGTGCAAGATCAGGGAGGACGAGGAGCAGGTCCTGCTCGTGGTGCCTTATTGGCCCACTCGGACCTGGTTCCTCACATTTCGGGTCTGCACAACCATACGGCCGATGAGCTGTCGCTACGAGCTACGCTCCCAGGAGAATGGAGACTCCATCCCCAGACGGTCCAGCTGATTTGGAGACATTTTGGAGCCGCTCAGGTAGACCTGTTTGCGTCTCCAGAGACTTCTCACTGCCAGTTGTTTTACTCCCTGACCGAAGGAACACTCGGCACGAACGCACTGGCACACAGCTGGTCGCGGGGCCTTCGCAAGTATGCACAAGTATGGATCCTCTAAGGGATCAGGGAGGACGAGGAGCAGGTCCTGCTCATGGCGCCTTATTGGCCCACTCGGACCTGGTTCCTGGAACTGATGCTCCTCGTGACAGCCCCTTTTTGGCAGACTCCTCTGACTCAGAGACGGGGCACCCTGTGGCACCCGCGTCCAGACCTCTGGAAACTTCATGTCTGGCCCCTGGACGGGACGCGGAGGTCTTCTCACCGAGAAGACCCCCGGAAATGCTCAATCAGAGTTGTGCTGTCCTTCCTGCAGCAAGGGTTGGAGCGAAGGCTGTTTCCCTCCATCCTTAAAGGTCCCATGACATGCTGCTTTTTGGATGCTTTTATATAGGCCTAAGTGGTCCTTAGTACTGTATCTGAAGTCTCTTTCCCGAAATTCAGCCTTGGTGCAGAATTTCAGCCACTACGAGCCAGTCCCACAATGAGTCTGCTCCTGCTTGCACTGGCCTCCATCAAGAGGGTAGGGGACCTGCATGCATTTTCGGGCGACGATTCATGCCTAGAGCTTGGGCTGGCTGACTCCCAGGTAATTCCGAGGCCCCGGCCCGGCTATCTGCCCAAGGTGCCCATTACTCCCTTCAGGGATTGGGTGGTGAGCCTGAAAGCGCTGCCCCCGGAGGAGGCAGACCCAGCCCTAGCTTTGCTTTGTCCCGTCCGAGCTTTGAGATGCTACGTAGACTGGACACAAAGCTTCAGGACCTCAGACCAGCTCTTTGTCTGCCATGGAGGCTGGCAGAAGGGGAATGCCGTCTCTAAGCAGAGGATGGCCCACTGGATAGTGGATGCCATTACATTGGCTTATCAGGCACAGGGTGTGCCCTGCCCCCCTTCAGGTTACGAGCTCACTCTACTAGAAGTGTTGCATCCTCCTGGGCGCTGGCTCGTGGCGCCTCGCTGGCAGATATTTGTAGAGCTGCGGGCTGGGCGACCCCCAACACGTTTGCTAGATTCTATAGCCTTCGCGTGGAGCCGGTATCCTCCTGTGTTCTCACCTCAAACGGGTAGAAGCACTGAGAGGCCCTGGTTAGTGTTGGCTTGCTAAAACTGGTCAAGAGTGTCCGTACTGTAGACCCTGTCGAGCTCCTCCATCCCCTCGGCAGCCAGACGTGGCGGAACGTCCGGCGCCAGGCCCTCACTCGATGAATCCATGAGAACCGGTAGATGGCTGTGTTCCATATTTAGAGACCTAAGTGGATCCCATATGTATAAAGTCCACGGTATAGCCTGTGTTTCCCTGGCAGACATCTGCCATTTCCAAGAGGGTTATAATGACCTCTAATCTTCCATATGCACCTAAACGGTTGTTCATATGTGTAAGTGCTTCCGAAATCTCCTTCGGGAAAGATGGGGCTTCCGCAATGTTCCTGTTCCAAGTGGAACGGGTACGTTTTCCCAGTGTTATCCAATCTCACTGAGTGGGTAGTGCTATGACAACAGTGACTGGTCTTCTTGTTGCGAGCCCTGGCCTACACCAAAAAGGGGTGCAGGCAGCTCGCACAGGACACTGGAAGGGGCAGCATCCATGGCGCTTTTGTAGGGATCCCAATTCGTCGATCACCGACGTGACGTCGAGAGTGACCGACTGAAATGGAATGTCTCGGTTATGTATGTAACCCTTACTCCCTGAAGGAGGGAACGGAGACGTCACGTCCTGTCGCCACGGCTGCTGTACCACCACTGAGCGGCCGGGTCACCGGCTCGGCACCTCAGCGAAAACCTGAGTATGCTGTCAATGTGCATTGGCTCGTTCAGTTTACACTCGAAGTGGATTGGTCTCTCTAAGCGAGATCCCAATTCGTCGGTCACTGACGTGACGTCTCCGTTCCCTCCTTCAGGGAACGAGGGTTACATACGTAACCGAGACGTTCTCCTGGTGAGACTCTAAGCAAGAGATCAGAGAATGTGCACACATGCAGAACACGGATTCATGTTAACATGAGCGTGTTTCGTGGGTATCTGTATTCTCTCTCTGTATGACGTCAGCTGAGATTTTTGTAGTTGTCATGGAAACTTTACTGTATTCCCAGCATGCCGCACTGGACACACATGAGTCCTGACTTCAGGTCTGTACATTTACACCATTACTAGAGATTTAGTGAGTTTGTAGAATGAGTGAAAACAGGAACCAGAAAGTGGAAAATTTGGGGTAGGTGAGATATTAATGTTTCTGAAAGAATTCTCCTCTGTTCACCTAAGGCAGCATTTATTTGATCAAAAATACAGTAAAACCAGTGAAATATTATTACAATGTAAAATAGCTGTTTTCGCTGTGAATATCTGTTAAACTGTAGTTTATTCCTGTGATCAAAGCTGAATTTTCAGCATCATAACTCCAGTCTTCAGTGTCACATGATCCTTCAGAAATCATTCTAATATGCTGATTTGCTGCTCAAGAAACATTTCTGATTATTATCAATGTTGAAAACAGTTGTGCTGCACAATATTTTTGTGGAACCTGTGAAGCATTTTAATTTTCCAGATTCTTTGAATAAAAGGTTCAAAAGAACAGCGTTTATTTGAAACAGAAATCTTTTGTTGCACTATGAATGTGATCAATTTAATGCGTCCTTGATGAATATAAGTAATTTCTTTTTTTTTTTTTAAATCGTAGTGATCCCAAACGTTTGAATGGTATGTAGTCAGTGTTTGAACTGCACATATGAGGAGCGTGTGCCAGTGCTGGACTGTATGTGAAATGTGTGTCACTTTTACTGCTTGCTCAGAAGACTGAAGAGATTCTGCTGTGTGTCTGAATGAACCCACTTAGTTTTTATTCCAGCAAACACACTCTTTGATGAGCGATCATGAAACACTACCACACTTATCCACCGTTGTGTGTGTGTGTGAGCAATGTTGACATCATGACAAGCACGGACAGTATTTTTAGCCTTATAAACAGTCAAAGTGCAACAAATATTTTCATAAGGACTGACGCAGCAGTGAGTTGAGCTCCGTTCAGTCATTCAAACACAAATAAAACCTTCCACTTGCCTCCACTGAAAACACTGCACCATCTTTACCAGAATCAGGAGTGATCATTGTCTTTCAGAGAAAACCTGCTGCTCAGACTGACAGAAAAATACTACACAACACTAAAGAGTGATAGGGAATGATGTACAGATCCAAACACTGAAGCGCAGCAGACACACACTGACCCCTGCTGGACACACAGCATTAGTCAGGGATTCGTATCATGACACTGTTTCTGCTTACAGAATTAAGTCATTCACATGCTGATCAGTATTTCAGCTGCATTTATTGATTTGTTAAATAGCCACATTAATGACCTGCTTTATTCCTCACGTGTGTGTTGCTGTGGAGTTTCAGGTCCGTTTGTGCGAATGACCCTCAGGATTAATGGCTGCTCGGGTTGTTGGGTGTTTTGCTTTGGGATGCATCGTTACGATGCTGTGAATCTGTCAGCAGCTTCAGACACGTGCTGTTAGCATGATTCACACACACACACACACACACACACACACACACACACACACACACACACACAC